ATAAGTAAAGGAAAAAGCACCCCAGATGTGTGAGCAGTATTCTAAGTAGGGGCGGATAAGACCTTTGTAAATTGCAAGTAACTGCAATGAGGAAAAGTAATAACGAAAACAAAATAAAACCCCCAATTTTTTGGATGAAGATTTAGAAATTTGGATTATTTGATAACTCCAAGACAAGTTGGAGGCTATATGGATTCATAATATATTGATAGAGTTAAGAGGGTAAATTTCATTAGTTTTTGAAACTTTGCTCAATGCTCACTTCTTGAAATGCCTTGAATCTATCTCGCTTATCTCTGATCACCAGTACGGCTTCTGCAGGGCAAGATCCACAGGTGATCGCCTGTCCTATCTTACTCATGTATGGTCATGTTCTCTGAGAAACTATGGGGAATCCTTTGTCGTCGCCCTTGATATCTCTAAGACTTTTGACAGAGTCTGGCGCAAGGCTCTGTTGGCCAAACTCCCTACATTTGGCTTTATCCCTTCTTTTTGTTCTCTGATTTCCAATTTTCTTACTGACCGTTTTACAACTGTAGTTGTTGATGGCTCGACATCTAGCCCTTTCTCTGTTACCAGTCGTGTTCCACAGGGCTCTGTTCTTTCACCTACTCTCATCCTTCTCTTCATCAATGATCTTCTACAATCTCCATCTTCATATCTTCTTCATGCCTTTGCCGAAGATTCTACCCTTCAATTTTCCTCACAAACTTCATCTGCTACTCGCAATCGTCTCATATCACTCTTTCTTCTACTCTAAACTCCGATTTGCAGAGAGTGTCTGAGTGGGGTACTCAAAATTTAGTTAACTTCAATGCCTCCAAGACAGTTTCTTGCTATATCTTTATCTTCTTCTCCTCCTGATAACCCTATTGTCTTCGAAGCTAACGAAATTACCTTCTAAATTCTATCAACATATTAGGAATCTATATAGCCTCTAACTTGTCTTGGAGGAATCACATAATCCAAATTTCTAAATCTTCATAAATAAAATTGGGGGCTTTGTTTCGTTTTTGTTATAACTTTTCCTCCTTACAGTTACTTAAAATTTATAAAGGTCTTATCCGTCCCTGCTTAGAATATTGCTCACACATCTGGGGTGCTTCTTCTTATAATTATCTACTTGATAGGGTTGAATCTAAGGCAGTCAGACTCATTAATAATCCTTCTCTTACTTCTAATCTAGATTCTCTCTCTCTTCAGTGTAAGGTATCTTCCCTTTCTCTTTTCTATTGCTACTACTTCCAACGCTGCTCTGATGATTTGGCGGGTTGCATCCTTCCCCCACTGCCGAGGCTGCGTAACACTCGCCAAGCAGCCTCATCCCACAGGTACTGTGTGGAGATTTGTATCTCGCAGATTGGTCGGTGCAGCGACTGCTTTTAACTATCTACCTTCAGACTCTGTAACTCTCTTCCTCCTTCTGTCTTTCCTAATTCTTATGACCTTTCATCCTTCAACAAGCTAATTTATCGTCATCTCAGAACCTAGTCCTCCATATTTCTGGGTCCTCTGTATTTGACTGTTTTTTCTGCCTATCGCTTTTCTTCGTGTGACATTACCTCATCTCTGCCTTGTCCTTAACCTTTTTTTACCTTTGTCTTAGTATTTTCTCGTGGCCGGGCCTTTATTGATGAGGGCAATTTCTGCCTGTCCCGGTATCACACTCAAAAAAAAAAATCACATTGCCATATGTGGAAACATGAATAACTATACCCCGAACGGGACTTAAACCTAGAACACATAATTACTGTGCCAAGGCGCTACCAACTATACCACAGAAGGTCTAAAAGGAAAACAATACTTACAGCTATATATGCTATACTAGGAATGAACGCATTCTTTTTGAATGTCACTCTGTGGGGTTGGGGGAAACTGTAATATGAAAAGAGTGGCATTCAGATAGAATGCATTCGTTCCTAGTACAGCATCTATAGTTGTAAGGTATTTTTCCCTTATAAACCTTCTGTGGTGTAACTGGTAGCGCATTGGCACAGTAATTATGTGTCCTAGGTTCATGTTCTGGTTGGGGTAAAAATTATAAATGTTTTCACATATGGTAATGTGCTTATTTGATTATTTTTGGTCCAAAATGAGATTGAGAGTTGCATTAAAAGCGAAAATGAAGCCACGAGTGAGGTTGGGGGAAACTGTAATATGAACAGAGTGGCATTCAGATAGAATACATTCATTCATGATATAGCATATATAACTGCAAGGTTTGTTTCCCTTTTAAACCTTCTGTGGCGTAGTTGGTAGTGTCTTGGCAAAGTAATTATTTGTCCTAGGTGCATCTCCCGGTCGGGGTAAAATTTATTCATGTTATCACATATGATCATGTGCCTAATTGAATATTGTTGGTCCCAAATGAGATTGGGAGTTGAATTAAATGCGAATACGAAGCCAAAAGAGAGGTTGGGGGAAACTGTAATGTGAACAGAGTGGTATTTCAAAAGAATTCGTTCATTCCTAGTATAGCATATATAGCTGTAAGGTTTGTTTCTCTTTAGACCTTCTGTGGTGTAGTTGGTATCACCTTGGCACAGTAAGTATGTGTCCTAGGTTCAATTCCTAGTCAGGGCA